TAGTAAATACATACCCATTATTTCTTAAAAATTTCCCTCTCTATCTTTATAGAATATTATAATCAGATTAGTACATTTTCATTGAGTTCATTCATTACTATGTCTATCCATCGTCTACATTAATAAAAAAAATCTTTAATCTATAAAAACCTATATTTCTTCTCACATTTAACCTATGCTTAGTGAACTCCATTTATTTAAAGACATTTTAATCAAGTCATTATTGTCTTGGTTTTGGTTACAGATCTTCTTCGTGTTGCTTAAGGTTATTCTTACTACCCATTACATCAGGTGAAGCAAGCTTTGGGTGAGGCCGTTAAACATGTAATGCCTCAGAAACAAGAGTAAGGAAAATAAGTTGCATGATAGTATTAATTCAAGAAGTAGTTGGGGTCTGCCATGCTCACCCTCCAGGGAGGCATTTACAGCCATGTTGGGTCTGGATAAAATTGGCCTCCCTGTCTAAAGATGTCAGGGCTGATGGGAAAAATCCATAGGGAACTCCATGGGTCAACTGGAAACAATAATGATGACTTCACACTTTTTTATTTGCACTTGCTACAAAATGAGAGTCTGCCAGAGGAGTCAGAGGAAAGCTAAAGACCCTTGCATCATGTAGATATTCAGGCAAGTTTTTTTTCCATAGGGAGCAGGGTAATGAATTCATGCAATTTGCTATCCTATAATCCAGAGGTCACCAACCTTTCTTGGTTGGCAGATCAGAGGGAAAGGGAGGGGTGTGCCCACACAGGGCCACAAGCATGCGTGTGACGCAAACAGCTAGCGCTGGCGTGATACTCGCTAGCCCTGCCCTGTTCTTGTACACAGTGCTGTTTCTGTGCCCCGAGGCGTGGTGTTGGCCCGTTTTCATGCAGCTGTGCTGCGTCTCATTTTTGCACACTGTGGCGCAGCGATGTCCCATTTTTGTGCCCCGCAGTGCAGCGGTGTCCCGATTTTGCAGCACGGTGGTGTCTTTTTTTGCTCTTAGGCACGGCATCAGCCTGTTTTTGCACCCCTAGGTGCACCAGCATCCCATTTTTGTGCCCCAAGGCACGGCAGCGGCCCATTTTTGCACCATGCAGCGCAGTGTCGTTTTCGTGCCCTGCGGCTGTGGAACTAGTGCAAGTGGGAGGATGTGCGCATGCATGTGTGCACACTGGCCAGCCTGTCCCACAGCCCAGTGACCAGCAGCCCACAGCCCACCAGCGGGCCGTGGCCCACAGGTTGGGGACCCCTGCTATAATCTGAAGGATTCTATTAAGGATTCTATTCCAAGATTTTCCTGGAATACCTCTGGATCTAGGGTTTAATTTCCAAGATCCATGCTGCTGAAAGAGACATGTAATATGGGACTTCATCTATTTACAGCATCCTTCAAAACCTTTCCCATTCCCATTCCTTTCAGAACTAGCACATGATGGTGACAAAGTAAATATCAAATTCATAGTAAATATCAAATTTAGAGTGCTGGACTGATTTGTGTATGTCTAGGAAATTTATAGTCTATCAAAGATTTGCTGCTTTCATTGCTAAGGCATTGACTTCACAAGTCATCTTTAAAATAATGTAATCATTAGGATATTTGGGAAAGTCATTCTTATGTTTCTAAACCAAGGAAGCTAGTGGAGATCTATCAGTAGTTCCTTTAAAGTCTTTGACATGGTCTGGAACAAACTATGGTAATGTTTGGCTATATTCTTGATGAATCTGCTCAGTTTATCAAGGAAGGGGATATTTGCTGCTGTGTCTTAAGCTACAAGATCTATTTTAGCTACCCAAAATGCAAGAATGACTGGTGATAGGATTGTATTTCCTGAGTGAATTTTATGGATTTAGAGATTTAACTAGGAAAATGAAATTGCTTTGATAAATCAATCTCAGAGTTCATGGTAACCATTTTTACCTCTAATGCCACCTCTACTTGCTTCTCTCCTTTAGTTCTCTTTCTTCCCTATTTAAATGCCTGGAAGAGAGAGAGAGCCATTGGGTGAGATGAAATCTGAGGAAGCCTTACTCAACATTCCAGGAGATTCTCTTTTTGAGTATGTGAGCTGGGAATTTGCTTCCTACAGAAAGCCTCTTTGGGAAGTCTGAAGATGAAAGCAAAAAGGAAGTACACTGGCCATTTTGCTATAGTCATTTATAAAGCTTCTGTTCTCACTGTGTTCTGAATTCGGTGAGGCTTTCCTCTCCTGGAAGTCTTCAAAATAACAAATGCCATAAGTTTGACAAACAAGTCAGACAGTAGCCACAGGTTCCTGTAAAAAGTGCATATACTTCTTCATTTGAGATCTAAGTGAAGATCAATTTATTTATTTATTTATGAGACTTATATACCGCTTTAAGTGCAAGCACTCTCTAAGCGGTGTACACCAGTAAGCAATGTATATATATATTTACATTGCCCCCAACAATCTGGGTCCTCATTTTACCTACCCCGGAAGGATGGAAGGCTGAGTCAACTTGAGCCGGTGAGATTTGAACCGCTGACCTGCTGAACACAGTCAGCTAAAGTGGCCTGCAGTACTGCACTCTAACTGCTGCGCCACCTCGGCTCAAGCAACAGAGTGAAATATTCCACGTTTCATGTGGAATTCCTGGTAAGGAGAAGGGAGGGATGTAAGGGAATGGGAAATTCAGAATGGCAAGGTATATGAACTGAAGGAGTGGCACCAAGTCAAGGCTGGGAAGAAATAGAAAAATTGGACAGGTGGTAGGCCAGAGCAGTGGCTGGGAAGAGCCACTGACTGGGTGAAACAATGAGATATGCTCTATGAGCAGCAATGGCAATTCATTTTCCATAGCCTCCTCCAGTCTCAACCAATGCTTCCTTGCTCAACTAGAAAAAACATGGACCCTCAACAGGCTCTATTATAGTGCTCGGTGAACTGCCTTCCTCAGAGCTTTTCTTCCTCTAAGAAAGAGCATCTCTCTAGTTAACCATTGGGAGAGGAAAATAAAAAGATGGGATCTTTGGATTTAATGTACTCTCTGCCCACTACATTAAATCAATGTTTTACTGTAAATAAATCAACAAATGATAAATTTTGAGGAATGTGTGTGGAAAGGGATTATTATTATGGAATTATTCAAGCCCATTTATTCAATTAATAAAGGGATTCAAAATTTAATTTAATTTAAGGCCCATTTATTTATCTATGTGCTTTTCTAGTGTTTGCTTCATCTGAAGTCAGCAAACTGATTGATAACCAGTACTACTAAAATTCTATTTTTTTTCACCCAGTATATGAATTATGTAAGAAATTACATAGGGAAGAAAAGGAAATAGAGAAAAAAGAAACAGAAAGGCAGTGGGATTGTAATGCATTTATTACAAAATTTATATATTTCCCATAAATTCCAAACTTATTAGCTGGTCTGAATATTGAATAATGCATAAAATATTCAAATATGTCCTGCATTTAAGGAATGATAAGGGTTTTTTTGGGATGTATCCTTCATTTAATCTTTTAATATCAGTGGCATCCACCTAAAGCATATTGTAGAACAGTGTGAAACTTATTGTGGCAATTGTCTATCTTAGCTTGAGGCTTAAAGCCCATTTATGTAAAAATAAAATGAGTGTTCCTATGTTCACAGCTTACAGAAATAAAGCTGGAGCAAATCACATGTAGTTTTCAAATATGTACCAGTATATGGAAAAAAATGAATTGTGAACAGACATAATTAGACAGATTTTCATTTACAGTACTTTCTCTCAAGATTCAAATCTGTAGCAAGAGATTTAAAAGTGTGACTCATTTGTTGCTGCTTTTGGATGAGGTGGCAATGGATAACATCATGGAGGTAAAAAGGTAAATTTACTCCATCTTGTTCTCCATTCACCGTACAAATCCCGAACAGATTACTTCCTAGCGTACACTATATTTCAGTAAATAACCATGCTCCACTAAATGCCCTGTCTTGGAGCCTGCTTTCATTTCAAATGATGCTTTTAAAATATCGCTTGAAAATCTAAAGTGCACCCACATTGTCTACTTTCTGATTTTTTAAAAAAATAACAGTTAAACGTTTCTTCAGTGAGTACACTTGAAAACCGCTGGACAAAATAAACACAAATCCTACCTGGATTAACTCCAAGGTATTTTATATGTCAGTGTCCAGTCTAGCAAAAACAAAGAAAAAAATCTTAAAAGAATCAAACTAATTAAAACTAGAACAAGAAATAGTTATGGCCTGTCAGTGCCAAGTTTTCCAAATAAAATCATTTCAATGTACTTTTGTTACAGAATAAACAATCACTATTCTTAACTCCCAACTGAACTATGAGTTTTCATGGTGATATAATCAATTTGCTTTTTTTGAAGCAAGATGTTATTATATCCTTGCCTTAGATCAGACATGTCAAACTCGCAACGTCATGTGATGTCGCACAACGTATCGGAGCTTTTTCGCCGTTGCCAGCAATGGGGTGTGCGCGGCTCTGGTATGATGAAACCGGCCCGCGGGCCGGCAGTTTGACACACCTGCCTTAGATTTTAGACTCAAGTACTTTATAAAAGCCATAGCACAGTATGTAGAAGCTGATTTGAGAAATTAAATTGTTCAGTGCACTCCTGGCCTGAAAGCTCGGCTAGATTTCTTTCAGATTTAAAAGAAATTAAAAAGAGGAAAATATTGCTAATACATTAATCACCAACTTTGTAAAATTACAGTTTTCAATATACCAAATTAAACTAACAATGGTTGAAAAAAAATAGATTTGAAAATAGAGCCGTGGTGGCACAGTGATTAGAATGCAGTATTATAGGCCAATTCACTGCTCACTGCCAGGAGTTCGATCCTGACCGGCTCAAGATTTGACTCAGCCTTCCATCCTTCTGAGGTCAATAAAATGAGGACCCAGATTGTTGGGGGAAATATGGTGACTCTATAAACTATTTAGAGAGGGCTATAAAATACTATGAAGCGGTATCTAAATCTAAGTGCTATTGCTATTTAACTGAAAACACGCCTGTTGTAAAATGAAAGTTGCTTACCCCCCTGAAAATACAGCGAGCTTTTGTTCACCACATTTTTTCAGCACCTTCTTTAAGACAGAGTCTGCAAGGAAAGAAAAGACTTGCTCAGTTATGCTTTTCCATATTGGCAGAACACAAACAATCTAATATTCTGGCATTTCTCATAAACTGTCTTCTTTAAAAACTACTGACATAAATTTTCTATGTGCAATACTGGAGATGGGATATTGGGCCACTTCCCTTTTTACAAAACTTAGCATGTTCTATGCTCAAAAGATAAACTTGAAGATAATGAGAACTCTAAACTCTATTAGCTAAGCAAAGGGCTATGATATGCTTTTCAAAATACTGAAATTTCAATTAAAAATTTGAAAACATTTACCAATTATCAAATGTACTCAATTGCACAATGAAGCAAAATGTTCCCATAGAATAATGAACTCTAATTGAGTGCTGGATATACAAATAAAAGCACACATGACTTATTTTAATTGCATTTTAATTAATTCTCTATTTTATTTTTTTAACTTCTGATCATTTTTCCTGACTATAGATTCATTAAATAAAGTGTTAATAAAAAATCTTCAAAAGGAACTATATTATTAAGCCTATTTTAAGTTATATTAATATCCCAAGTTAATTCAAAGTTGTTTAACATAGCTTCCTGAGTTGTTGGCTGAAAATACATGAAAACACCAAAATATATGTTCATACAACATGACCATGGAAACTTGGCTCATCAATCATACCTGGTTGATTATAAATTTAAAATTTCTAATTTTCAAATCCATTCAAATGCTTAATATTTTATTCTCTCACTCTCTTAAAAACAAATATCATTGCTATCATTATTTTATAGAACTCCACAGGTTTATTGTAAATCAACGTTTATTGTAAACAGCAAAAGTATATTTACCAAGAAACAATTTATCAATTACAGAAAAATTGACAGATATGCATGATCCAGTTTGAATAATTTGAGAATAAAAAGGCTAAGATGGACAAATATAACAATTTGCCAATGCTAAAGAAATCTTTTTGGTAGCTATCCCAATTTTTCCTTAAGCTAAAAATAGAATAAAATACCTTACAGGGCAGACAATTTAAACTAACAGAATAATTTTTATAGCAATTATTGGAGAGAAAAAGCATGTGCCTTGGGTAAGATGCTGCTAATAAAAGAAACAAAAAGGTGGGATACAAATAAATAAATAAATAAAAATGGTTTCAAAGAAACAGGAAGAAAGAGGTACTATGACAAGTAAATACTGACAAAATTAGAAAAGGAGATTTAATATTTTTTCTATAGTGGCTCTAAAACTATTGGTTCAGCATCAACTTTGTAATAAAACGTGATTTTGGAACTCTGGTGAATTAGCACTTGACTAAAAGCCACTTAGATTGCAGATTATGCCTTGATATATATTTTAATTCCATAATCCAGTTGAATATAATCACAGCTATTGTTGGATAATAATAAATTGGAAGGCCAAGGATTATATTGATCTGTACACAGAATTTCTGTCTTTCAAATTTGGTATAGTGTATAGCAAGTAAATTATTTCCCTCCAACTGTATCTATTTAATCTCCATATGAATCAAAGAGCATTCCAAACAATGCACAATGAACGCCATTAGCTAAATTTAAATAATTCTTCACAACTCTTTCTTAAAGTTAAGTATATGTAGGTGAAGGAGTGGTAGAACCTGTGGGCAGGGTTAAAAAAGGGATCAGCCTACAATCCCTACCTAGCCACAAACGAACAAAGTACAACCCCTCTTGAATTCTGTTGACCTTTATCTAACACTAATCAGATGTTAACTGTTAGAGGAAAAGATTCTTATGCATTGGCATGGTTAACAATAAATCAGTTTAACTGGACAGTATGAGAAAATTCCAGAGGAGCTTGCTTTTCTCTTAAGATCCTCCTTGGTGTACTTCAGAAGTTGGTAGATGGATTATCTTGGTAAGGCATTTTTCTAGTGACAAATGTAGATTAAGTTTGGGGATTTATTTACAAGAAACACATTTATTTACAAGAAAAAATCATTTATTTACAAGAAACACAAGAAGACATCAGACAAAGAATCATCCCCAACGTGCAACACAACAGACAAAACGAAACACTCAACCCGATCCCAAATCCTTAATCTCTACCCAGAAATATTGTTCTGAAATAATAAAATAAATTGGAGAAAAGGCAACCACCAAATAATATATTCAAATCTACAGTGGTATTATGGAAAGAGATTAACCTTTCTGTGATCCTGAAACAGTATTTAGCAAAACTCAGCCATGCCATTAAATAACAATAATACTGAACAGAATTGAAAAATAGAAAGTAAGCATATTAAAGTATTGTGGGATTTCCGAACACAAACTGATAAATTCCTGGTTTATAACACCATCACATAACTGTAGTGGAAAAGAAGAAAATGTGGGTAATTGAGGTGACAAACCAGGGGATAGTAAAATAGAAGACAAAGAACTGGAAAAGATCACAAAGTATCAAGATCTGAAAATTGGAACTGAAAGATTATGGTACAAAACAGTCCTAATGGTTATCAGCATACTGGGTGCCTTACTTGGACAACCCTCAGAAAATCTGTGCATTGACAACTTTTCCATCTGTCAACTGCAAAAGGCCACATTGCTCAGATATGCACATATACTATTAAAACATCATAGGTTCTTGGGAAGAGCTCAATGTGTATGAAGGCCAATACCAGATCAAGAATGGACAGTTATGACTTCACATTATTGTGAACACATAATAATAAAGATCTAGATTGAGTTTAACAAAGAGGCCCAAATGATGATCCTAGTTATTCTCCATCCTGAAAGGAGAGTGAAAAGGTAACAATTTGAATAAAAGTAAACCTATTGTCTCATGAGCATTAGGCATTGGATTCATATTTTGAAATATTATATCTGTAATATAGTGAAAATCAGTTTATAATACTATATAATGTGTAGAGATATAATATTTTCCCCAGAAATTTACCAGATTCCATTGGATGCACAAATTCTTACAGCATGTCTCAAGTAATTTCCTAAGTTGTCACAGCAGAGGAAAAAAAATCATCTAAAATTTTCTTATATTTTATACAGATTGTCCTTGACTTATGACCACAATTCAGCCCCAATTTTCTGTTGCTAGACAAGACAGTTGTTAAGTGAGTTTTGCCCCATTTTACAACCTTTCTTGACACAGCTGTTAAGTGAATCACTGCAGTTGTTAAGTTAATAACACAGTTAAGTGAATCTGGCTTCCATATTGACTTCGTTTGTCAGAAGGCTGCAAAAGATGGTTACAAGACCCCGGGGCATTGTAACTGACATAAATACGTGCTAGTTGCCAAGTGCCCAAATTCTGATCACATGACCAGGGGGATGCTACAACAGTCATGTGAGAAATAGCCTTAAATCTTTTTTGCAACTTTGAATGGTCACTAAATGAATGGTTGTAAGGCAAGGACTACTTGTAATCAAATTCAGCAATCTCATCATGAAATTAAAAACAGATGCATGTGTACTTATAAGCTCTGTCATTAAGTGACAGAGAATATTGGTAGCATGTTGCAGAGATATGAACACAATCTTCCTTTCTTTTTCAGAGATCCCCAACCTTTTGGGCACCAGGGATCAGTTCTGTGGAGAGAGAGTGCGTGGTTTTGTGTGCTGCCTACATCCCGTGGATGGGGCTTTGCTTGTTTGTGTGGACTGGTTGCTGGGACACCATGGACCGGTACTGCTCCATGGACTGGGGGCTGGGGACCCGTTCTAAATTGGCTCTTATTTCACAACAGATGTTATTGGCAGATGATGTCCAAGGAGTACCTATCTATCAGCCTTCAAACCTATATAATAAGAAAGGTATTTATTACTGAGATATGCAAAATAATGATTATTTATATGTATTTATCAATTTCTCAATCTTAAAAGCAGTTTGCAAGACAGTTAACAAAAGCAATTTGCCATATAGTTAAACAGCAACAATTAAACACAAAACTAAAAAAGAAGCCCTAGAATTATAAATTGCTTAAAGAAAATATTAAACCAAATTATAAAGCTAAGCAGCATCTTAATTTGATATACGAATTACATTGTTTGCCAAGCATAAGTGATCATGGAGTCTAATTCGCAACAAAGATGCTTATATCAAGAATGCTCTTTCTCTAGTGAGTCATTGACAAATGGGCACCCTCTTTCCTTGATCTTAAATATTACAATGGCAGATATATATATAATGGAGAAGTTGCCCCTTTAATTTTATATTTCCAAAAAGTGCATGAACCCTGCTGGAAAACAGCAATGCCAATTCAGGTAAGATCTTGAACTAAATGAAATGGTTCTTGGAAGTATTTAGTATGTATTCTGCTCAGCTTGTATTCAGGTCATATAAAGAGACATTTACAAAGGTCCTTTATTACAGCAATACACAAGGAAACACTAGCTGTCTATTGTGAGGCTTCCCATCTGCTCTAAATAGGGTGGAGAGGGGGAGTGAAGAGACTATACCCAAGTTTCCGGGAGAAAAAGAAGAAACTCAAGCCCACATGTTCTCTGAATATGTATATATGCACCCACATGTACAAAAATTAATCTTTCCCATGTTGAAGTCATACTGAAGCATATGTTTGATATGAATTGCCATACTGAATAGAGTATATAATTAAAATGTCACTTCTTCCAAAACTTCACCAGCTGGTTTTAATCACGCAAACTGCTGTCTGCTCCTGCCAAATGATTGATCTCTGTTTGATCATAAGTTCATTTTTATCAAGGAGATTAATTCACTCGTTTAAATTTACAGCTGCTCTATATGAATGCTTTATAAAGAAAAGGATAGCTCTTTATAAAACAGCAAAGCTTACTCGTATTACACAAACAACAATGTTAGTTTCCCTGAGGAGCTTTTTCTTTGGGGGTGCTGAGACAGATTTGACGAGACATGTGTTCACATTGAAATGGGCACACATATTACGTGACAGGCACATTCCAAGCATTTCGAAGGCCAGAACAAGGCTCCTATTTATAGGATTCTTTCAATGAATGGACTTATGTTAAAACAGTGAGTT